CCAACCAGGAGGGACACGGGTCTAATAAACATGTGGCTGCGCTCAGTCTACCCAGAATCCTGTCCATGTCTTTGGGGGTCACAGGGTCAAACTCTTCCCAGATAACATTCTCAAGACCTACCTCCATCATCCCTCCTGAATCTACCCAGAGTCCAAGTCTTCCCGAATCTGAGTGATTTTGTCATACAGATACTGCACAAAGTCCTTGGCCCTGCCCTCCAAGGGGTCTTCCCGCGCTTCCAGATGGAGCAGGAAGCAGGTCATCCTAAACAGGACGGCCAGGCGATTATCTGATGATGCAATAAGAGTGGAAAAATAATTACGTTTTGCTGCTTTTATCGCCACTAGTACTAATCTCACTAATATGAGACCTTACCAGTGTTTGGTTAGATTCAGAAAGGCTGGCCCTCCAACCGCTCTCCAGGAGTCTTTTCCGGCGCTTCATCTCCCTCAACTCCTCAGTGAACCAAGGAGCCAGGTGAGACCGGCGTCGGGTCAGAGGCCACAAAGGCATGTCCCGGTCCAAAGCTCCAGCGGCCGCCCTATCCCAGGCGGCCACTAGGTCTTCAGTCGAGTCGTGAGCCAGAGCCTCAGGGAATGACCCAAGTTCCATCTGGAACCTATCTGGATCCATCAGGCGCCTGGGGCGGAATCACCTCATCAGTTCTGCCTCCCTGCGGCAAGGTATGGCGGTTCAAAGGTCAAAGCGAAGGAGGGAATGATCCGACCATGACAAGGGCTCAATCACTATATCCCCTATCTCAAGACCACTCAACCACTGACCAGAGACAAAAACCAGGTCCAGCGTGTTTCCCCCCGTGTGAGTAGGGCCATGAACTAACTGGGTCAGGTCCATAGCCGTCATAGAAGCCATGAACTCCCGGGCTGCCTCAAACGCCTCACCGACGGATGGCAGGTTAAAATCCCACATGACCATGAGTCTGGGGGTATCAACCGCCACCGCGGCTATAACGTTGAGCAGCTCAGGCAGGGCCGCCGCCACGTGGTAGGGAGCCAGGTACGTGATCAGCAAGCCCATCTGTATCCCATGACCCCACTTCACAAGGAGGGACTCACATCCAGCAGTCTGAGGAACAGTGGCCTCCCTCGGACCAAGACCTTCTTTAATGACAACCGCCACCCTGTGACCTTGGCTGATGAAATGCGCGAAAACTGGGTGGGCACATTTCGACGAGGGGGACCTCCCCCGCCTGGCCCAACCAGGTCTCCATAATACCCGCCAGGTCCGCTCCCCCCTCCTGAACAAGATCGCAAATGAGGGGAGCTTTATTTACCACGGACCTGGCATTGCATAACATCAGCCGAAGGCCCAGGCCCTGAGGATCTGTGCAACCTGGGGAACGAGAGGAGCATTGGGGGCCGGAGCGTGCCACCGCTCGAAGACAGCGAGAGCGTACTCCCACAACACAATATGGCCCCCTGCTCCCCCCATATCTGCCTCTCACACCCACATGTAACGCCCATCATCGTCACCTTTCATCCTGAAGATGAAACTCAAATACTTTGGCCACTTAATGAGAAGGAAGGACTCACTGGAGAAGAGCCTAATGCTGGGAACGATTGAGGGCAAAAGAAGAAGGGGACGACAGAGAACAAGGTGGCTGGATGGAGTCACTGAAGCAGTAGGCGTGAGCTTAAATGGACTCCAGATGGTAGAGGACAGGAAGGCCTGGAGGAACATTGTCCATGGGGTCGCGATGAGTCGGACGCGACTTCAAAATTAACAACAAATGACAGTTGCAGTGTACCGGGGTCATGTCACAATGTTTTGCAAATTTCTGACAAGGAAAGTCAATGGGGAAGCCAGATTCACTTCACAGCTGTGTTACTAGCTTAAGAACTGTAGTGATTCACTTAACCACTATGGCGAGAAAGGTTTTTAAATGGAGCAAAACTCACTTAACAAATTTTGTTTTAATGGAAATTTGGAACTCAATTATGATCATAATTGTATATGCACAACTAGACAAACTTGCTGCAGAGGAGATATTATGAGCATTAACATTAGCATTATTGTTAGCAGTTGCAATACTCCTACTTCGGTATACAGGAGTGGACAGCACCCACAATTCACTACTACAAGACTTAGAGATGATGTGATCGTTTATCGACTTATGGCCACAATTGGGACCAGGATTTATGTTGCTAAACAAGGTGGTTGTTAAATGGGTTGTTTTTGATTTTATGGCTTTTTTTTTTGCCACAGTTATTAAGTGAGTAACTGCCGTTTATTTATTTATTTATTTAGAAAATTTATACTGCCGCCTACTTACACATGACAATTCAAGGCAGCCTATAGGACATAAAAGCACAAGATTAAAGAAATAAAAATAATAAATAATAAAAATAATATAATAATAATCATCCCCCACCCCACCTTGGTGACAATGCACATTAATTAACCAAGTGTTAAGTGAATCATGCAGTCGTTTAGGGAATTCAGCTTCTTCCTCCATTGACTTTGCTGGTTGGAAGACGACTGGGAAGGTGCAAATGGTGATCTGTGAATCCCGGATGCTGTAACTATCATAAATACAGGCTAGTTGCAAAAATAAAATAAAAAATAAAAAAAAATAAAAAAAAATAAATACAGGCTAGTTGCTAAGCGCCCGGATTTTTGATCACTTGACTGTGGGGATGTTGAGACTCCTTGTAAGTGCAAGGATCCATTATAAGTCACTTTTAACAATGCCATTGTAACTTCAAATGAATGGTTCTAAGTTGAGCATGACCTGTCCACATTGTGTTTCTGAGGATCATTCTATCAGGATCTTCAACAGCAATTCTACTAAATTGCATCAGAAGATGCATCAGAAGAAGGTCCTGCACATCACAGCATAATCATTTTGTTCTTTATTTGGGGTATTTCCTCCCTGATGTTGTGGTATTCTATTTTTTTGTTATGCTGTTGTACCCTGCCAGAGTCAGGTGGCGTTTAAATCAAATCAATTAAATTAAGTTATTTGAATTAAATCCAATAACAAAATCTTCTGCTACTGGAAGTGTCAACAGAGGTTTCAGAGGAAGTCCAGAGCACTGCAAAGAGAGGCAATGTGTTTTGTCCCCGGGGTCGGAGTCACAACACAATGTGGCCATTTCACATTTAGAAGCAAGGAGATAGGTTGCTTTGAAAATCTGTTTAAATGGGCGCACTGCATGATATTTCAGCAAAATCAAGCAGTCCTTCAAAGTTTCATACAAGAAAAAACACTAAACTAATTTGTTATGCAGGCAATGTTTTGCTTACGATCTTAAAAATTAGAGCTATATAGGAAGACAGAAATGCACACCAAAAAAATCAGACACATTTGCAACAAAGTAGAGGGATATGAAATCACTAAACTTTCATTTACTTTTTGCATCAAATCAATACTTATCGCAGTCAATAACCAACGCAAAACAAACAGAACTCTAACTCTAAAGATAAATCTAAAAGGAAAAGACACGTGACAGTGTAAACATAAATTAATTATTACTAAAAGCAATTTTGAAAGTAAAACACTTCCCTTAATATCCAAGAAGTTTGGGGCTCAAAAATAAACAAAATGTTCAACGTGCTCGAGAAAGAAAGAGAATGAATGAAGAAGGCAATGACAAACACTGACAAGACTGTGTAGGATAAGAACATTTAATTGGCAAAAGACTAGAATAGTTAAATAATCCTCTGTCCACTGGTAATGCGTTGTTGTGTAAGCTAAAACCCCAAAACAAGACAGCATTAGAGTATCAGGGACTAGGAAAAAAACAACAATCGAACAGTCCTAGGCTACATAAGGGCTTCAAGTGATGACCAGAAAGCAGAAACTCTCATACTTGGTTGTGTGATGTGAGTGGACAATGGACTAGAAAAAAGGGAAAAGAGAATAATTTGGGTGGGTTTCACTGAGTTTTTCAAACTCCTTTTGAACAGCTGGAAGGAGAGAATACTGACTGGGTGGCTGGGGAATTCTGGGAGTTGAAGTCCTCCAGGCTTAAAGTTGCCAAGGTTGGAGACCCCTGGACTTTTTCAAATAGAAAACAGAATCGAGCAACTGTCCAATTGAAACGCGAATCAATTAACCGTAGTTTGTAATTCCCCCATAAATATCATTATCTGATAAGAAATCTCTCCAAAATCATTAGGACATATCTAGAATTCCCTTCCCAACACATAAAGGCAAAACAATCAAGTGGACTGGTTGCCAACAGATGGACTTTAACTTATGACCATCCGTTTAACTCTGGGTGAAAGTTACAAAAGCCTTGAAAAAAAAGGGATTTGCGGCCTAGACTCACACTTACAACCATCACACCACCCCTGCATTCAGTGTAAAAGAGCAGAGGTCCCCGTGGACCGGCACTGGGCCACGGCATGCCAGCAACTGGATCACGCACACAAGTGAAGCCCCATCCACGGGATGCAGGCAGCATGTGAAACCACGCCCCTTTTGGGCCACGGAAAAACCTTTCTCCATGGAACCGGTCCGCGGTGCCCAAAAGGGGACCATTGTAATAGAGTTTTGCAGTGTTTTGAGTTCAGTTTCAAAAAACTACTTCAGACTGTACACAGTTCATATATGGCACCTCTCTGAGATATTCAAGCAATTGTGCCCTTTGTCAGAAGCTCATAGTAGCTTCAGAGGGCAGTCACAAGATCCTGGAAATCAGAAAAGTCAAAGCTGCCTTAAAATGTTGCAGACAGGCACTGTGTCTGTTCTCTCATACACTCCAAAACACCTCTGGATAGTGAATTTGAAATACTGCACAGCATAATGATCAGTAAATATACACAATTCCCAAACCAATCTTAATTGGAAACAAATGTAATTTAACAAATACAATAAAACAGATTATTAAACAGTATCAGCCTAAACAGAGTTGAGAGGTTTGTGTGGTATTTCATCCCTAGTACAAGTAACACATAGCTACAGAATTATTCAGAGATTAAACTCTATACAACATAGTTTTTGACAGTTGTCCTGGTAACATAAACAGAAGCTTGTCTTGCTTCCAGCAGAAAAGGCCATACAGAACCATTAAGAACTTTCAGAATGTTTCAAAAGTAACAACAGAGAGCATGGAAAGGCAATATTTTACACTTTTACATCTGAATGACTAACCAATTAATATCAAGAAATACGATTAAGCAGAATCCACTTTATTTGGGAAGGTAAAGAGAAAGAAGACTCTGTAAATAAGCAGGTCCCCAGTACAGAAGATTCTAAGCCAGTAGTGGGTTCCTCCCAGTTCGGTCCGGTTCGGCCGAGCCGGTAGCGGTGACGATATGATGTCACCGAACCGGTTCTCCCCCCCTCCCACCCCCGTTATTCTTACCTTTTATTTGGTCCCACCCCCAATCTATTGGTGCCTCCTGAGTCCCAGCTGATGACTAGAGGGGAAAAAACTGTTTAAACTCTTGCCACGGGACTTCAAAGGGCCATCCTACAGCTGATCAGTGTTAAAAGCAAACAAATGAGTCGGGTCATAAGTGCGAGGACCTTCCAGAAATGACTCTGACCAGCTAGCCACACCCACCTAGTCACATGACCTCCAAGCCACACCCACAAAATAAGCCATGCCCACAGAACCGGTAGTAAAAAAATTTAGAACCCACCCCTGTTCTAAGCATATGAATTTTATTCTAAAATTCTCATTTCTTTAGACATTCAAATACGATTGAACAACGTAGTGATTTTGGATGCATAAGCTGCTCTGAACATGGTCCATGAGGCATATTCCAGAAATTTAACCATGCATATGATTAAATCTGAAGTCTTTGCAAGAAGGGTGAAAGATAAATCAAGATGGCAAGTGTGACTGTGTAATAAAAAACACAACCCCATTTTTGTATTCGTTATGTGTGGCAACATGGGACTGTGTTCTGATCACATCTTCACAGCTATCACTTTCATCTTTTTGAAAACCATGCTTATGTTTATACATTTTTGGACATATCTGGCACAGGAGGTGAACTTGTGGCCTTAAGAGCCATAAATAATCTTAAATGGTAGATTAAGTATTAGGTATACATTTATTCATACACACAGAAGCACATAAATCCTTTCTAGTTGAAATGGAAAAGGATGCTTTAGTTATGTATTGCTTTCATATCTCCCTGCAATCAAAACTCCTGGTGGTCTGTGGTACAGGAAAAAAAATCATGTACTTCCTATCCAAACATTAGCTTGGTTGGTTGGAGGATGTTATAGACCAGGGGTGTTAAACTCGCGGCCCGCAGTCCGGATGCATCACGCACTGGCCACACCCACCCGTTTTAGCGAAGGGGTAAAAAGTCACAATATGTCACGTGACAACAACGTGTTTGACACCCTTATAGACTCTTCTCTGATAAACTCAGTTTCACTGGGAGCCACTTGTACTGTATTAACTGGTAGGAATGGTTTTTTTAAAAAAATTACATATGCATTTATATTGTATTTTCATTCTTCTCAGCTGCCCAAAATCAGTGAGATCGGTGGCCATATAAATCTAAATAAATAAACGGCTTTATAAAATCTATTAAACTTAGAACACTGAGTTCCTACCAAAGTAATTAATATAAGCTTGTTTTTAAGAATGACAGCAAAATTACATTAGATTTTTAAGATTAAAGTTGAGATTTTCTATAGAATTCTAGCATTTCTAGAAGCCCAGTTACCCTGACTCAACTTCCAGGCAACTCTATCTGGATGACCGAGAATTTTCGTTGACATCTATAATTTCTAATAAATTATAATTATGGCTCTGTGGTTTAATAAAAATTAATTATGGAGAACAATTTTAACACATCTGTTTGTGAACTTAGTAGTTATGTCACTAAAAACATCTCTCTTAGAAAAGATCTGCAACTAGCAAAAAGGAATACAAATGGCTGTAACTTCTCCAAAATTGTCGATCAAATTATGAATAAAGTGAAAAATAAACATGTTCTCAACCTTCAAAAAGTGCAAGAAACTAATGGTACTATCTGGATTGGAAAAGAAACAAAACTGAGGACAAATATTCCAAACATAAAGCCAGATTGCTTGGTATTTAATAAATTGGCAGATCTTTTTTTTCACCAGCAGCAATGAACTTTACAATTCTTTTACTTTCCTTTTAAATATTTTTCCAAGTGAAAAAATAAGAATAATATACTTTGTTCAGAATAGCCAATATGAGCAAAATACTACATGGCTGCCTTTTAAACTGTTGGATAATATTAGTCCTTCTGGGTAAACATTCAAGAAGCCAAACATTTGAAGTATGTAGATTTATGGCTGAGCAGGACTGAGCTTGAAGGAAGGACTGTAGACATGGACCATCAAAATGAAATCTCTATGGTCCATCCATTTTGGAATTGAACGAATGCTTCAAAACTAGCTGGTAATCAACTTGTGTGACTTCTAAATATCACAGAGCCTTTAACTTTGTATGTTTTGATGTTATACTGTACCTTCAGTTATTCTCAATAACCATTTGGAAATAAATCTCTACCCCTAGGCCTAAAATAGTAAACTATTTATTTCATTTTATATTGACTTTTTTTACAGTGAAACTTAAAACAAATTTAAAATGTTCCACATTCAAACGCTCCTTAGTCAATCAGATGAATTCTATGCTCTTTAGCAGCAGTCCCCAACCTTTTGGGCACCAGGGACCAGTTCCACGGAGAGAGGTTGTTCCATGGACCGGAGGGGACATAGTTTTGTGTGCTGCCTGCATCCCGCAGATGGGGCTTTGCTTGTTTGCACGGACCGGTTTATAGCATGCTGTGGACCAGAAGCTGTGGACCCCTGCTCTATAGCTTTTATCTGTTTTTGTCTCCAACTTTACTTAAGCACCATGTCTTTCTGGGTGAACAATGCTAAGAACAATGTGTAATGCATTTTAACTGTCTATAATTGTGATCACAAACCAAAATAAGAGTATACTAGCTTTAAAATATAAAGGCAATCACCAGAAAAGAATTTTGATCATACCTCTTCTGTGGCTAGAATCAAATAGGAAATCTCATAAGCCATCCACTTTTAAAAAGGGTCAAAAGCTTAATCCCAAGCCTGTCGGCTAAATTTATACATGAGTTATTCAATACTAATTCTTACTGCCATATGGTTTGGTTTAAATCGCAGGCACATTCCATAATATCTTTTTGCCTTTGACGGCAAGCAATGGGTACTCCTACTTAATATCTCTCCATGTCAACTATACAGGTAGTCTTTGACTTATGACGGAAGTTACAACTCCCTAAAAGTTATTTACAATCCGGTTCTGAAGTTCTGAGGGTCGCTCCCTGTAATCACATGACTGCATTTTGGCACCTGGTCTCCATTTACAGGAGTTTGCACCATCTTGTGGTCACGTGCTAGAATTGGGATTAACTTCTGGTTTTTCACAAAAAATTAATGACCACAGGGTTCAGTTAATGACTACAGGTTCACTTAATGACTACTACAAAAAAAATCATAAAATATAGACTTTTCTTTAAAAAAAAAAACCTTAAGTAATCAACCAGCAAATGATGCCTGAGATGGGTGGATCATTCTGATTAAGATTTAACTTACAAGCACCAACCTAGTGATTTAAGGAGCCAAAGAAAATATTTAACAAATGCATACAAATAACTAACAAGTGAGAACAAATGCTAATACCAGCAAGGTACCGCTACCTTGAGCAATGAAATTTGAAGCTGTTGCATTTTATATATTTGATGTTAGTTTCTTGTTCAACCTTGCAATCTGTTCTGGTAGAGCTGCGTGAGCTAATGTCTCTTAAATAGTAATTAATGACTACTACTTTAAGTCCCTCCGGACATACTAGCAATGAACTTTGATCCAGTCACAATAGAAACAAAACTTCTACTTTTTTGAGAAGGACATATATATATATTTATAACCTTAGTTTGATTAAAATTTTAAATTACTGTGAATTTTAAGGATATAAAATTATAATAATAATAATAATAATAATAATAATAATAATAATAATAATAATTTTATTTCTATACCGCCCTTCTCCCGAAGGACTCAGGGCGGTGTACAGCCAATTTAAAAACACAAGACACAACAATGATTAAAAATTAAAATAATTAAATAGAGTTGGCCGATTTAAAACCCCAAAAATTTAAAATACCCAAATTTAAAATTATTATGTTGATAGCCCGGCCTGGCGGAACAACAGGGTCTTCAATGCGCAGCGAAACACCCGGAGGTCGGAGATCTTACGTATTTCCGGGGGCAGTTCATTCCACAGGGCTGGGGCTCCCACAGAGAAGGCCCTCCCCCTGGGTGTCGCCAGCCGACATAACTTGGCTGATGGCACCCTGAGGAGACCCTCTCTGTGGGAGCGGAATGGTCGGTAGGAGGCTATTGGTGGCAGAAGATAATGATGATCATAGTTAAAACTGCAAAGTATTGAGTTAGAGCTAATTGGGGCTGAAATAATGGTGATCGCTGGGGCAGTCTTCCCTTGAATCCAAATCAAGTACTGTAGTACTTTGAAATAATGGAAATAACTGGTACAAAGTGAGATTTTATTCTGACTTCCAAGGACAAATAATTCAGATTTCTGGACTCTAGTAAATGTTTGTATGTACCTGAAATAAGTACAATATCTTATTTCAAGTCAAAATCTATAGATGTGGATATTTCTGTAAACATAGTCCTTGATTTACAACCGTAATGGATCCTGACCATTATGGTCATTTGTTATGATGGTTGTTAAGGGGTCATCATTTGACTGATGCAATTCTACACAGGCTAATTTTCACCTCCTAAACTGGACCCATTCTTTCAAGCGCAGTGGAAAACATTTTCCAGCTACAATTGTAGAAAGACAGATCTAGAAATGTTTTTGGTTTTGTGTTTGGAAGTGCTACCAGGCAGCAAGAAAACACATAAACAAACAAACAAACAAACCCCACTCTGCTTCCTTCTGCGAAACCTGTAAATCTTTAATAAAACATGATGGATTAACTGGTCTGCTTGAAAGGAGTAAAACAGACCAACAAAGTACTTTCACCAATTTAATCCGATTATATACTAATTCAAACATACTGTTCCAAACAAGGACTGGAAACATTTAGCTATTTATACAAACATAATATTTTCTAAAAGTTTCTGCAAGCTCATTTAAGTTTTCAAAAGTTCTGAACTGTGGAATGAAATATTTATTTACATTCCACTGCTGAAGCAAATTTATACTTTTAAGCCATCTCTTCTTGGACTGCTAAGAGAGTTAAGCTGTCCTACACACATTCGTTACATAACTCATTTACCTCTATAGGATTGCAATAGACATATAAATAGGTCAACATAATGTTATACAAGAGTGGGAAAACAATTTAAAATTACTTTTTAAAAAGTAAAAGGATCCAAGAGCAAGTTAATTTACTGATATTTTGGTGTAACTTAGAAATATGACAGATGGATAGATTGTGAATATATTTAAAATGTTAACTGTAGTGTTTAAATAATTGAGTGGTCTTTAAGTGATTAAATTACTCTAAAAGTTTATCTCTTTTCACTTTGTGATCAATGGCCATTTAGGGCTTAAAATACAATCAATTGATAGTCTTTCAACAAAGGTATATAAAATTAGACTGTTGTAACAATCCTGTCTCTATATTCTTAGATATTATTTCCTTCTAAAAGGGACTGAAAATATTGACTATTCCTTTTTAATCTAAGCAAAGATTTTTTTACAACAAGCCAGTTTCATTTACACATAAAACTGTCTTTTAATGTTTCTTTTTTTATATTTCATGGTCAACCACACTAGGACTTTAAGGCTTTTACACATCAATTTGATAATAAAGTTAAATTACACAAATTCAAAGAGCCAACTTGTAAGATGAATGGGTAACCACATAAAGCCAAAAGTTCTTTTCTCAGAGAATAAAAACTATTAAG